AGATTCCATAATCAACAGTACCATTAACATACCTCAGAACTCTCTTTGCAACACTCAATTGAACTTGAGTAGGAGAACTCATGTATCTAGACAACAGACTAGCAGCAAACATAATGTCTGGTCTAGTAGCAGTAAGATAAAGCAAACTGCCAATGATACTTTTGTACCAAGATGCATCAACATAAGCATTACCATCATTTTTTGACATTTTACAGTTCAAAACAAGAGGAGTAGAAACTGGTTTGTTGTATCCCATATTGAATTTCTTCATCATATCCTGTGCATATTTTTGCTGTGACAAGAAAATTCCATTTCCACATTGTTTGATTTCCAAACCAAGAAAGTAACTCATTTCTCCAAGATCTGACATTTCAAACTCTTTCTTCATAACAAGCATAAAATGTTCCATAGCTTGAACATCAGAACCTGTAATCAGAAAATCATCAACATAAAGTGAAACCAGAAGTTGTACATCACCATTTATGTCTTTCACGTACAAAGTAGCTTCATTTTCACTCCTCCTGAAACCTTGTTGCATTAAGTAGGCATCAATCCTACTATACCAGGCCCTAAGAGCCTGTTTTAGACCATAAAGAGCCTTATGAAGCTTGTATACCATATTCTCACTACCATGAACAAAGAACCCCTTCGGTTGCTCAACATAGATTTCTTCTTCCAAAAAACCATTTAAAAAAGCAGATTTCACATCCATATGGTACACCTTCCAACCATTTTGAGCAAAAATAGCAAACAACAGTTTGATAGTATCATGCCTTGTGACTGGTGCAAAAGTCTCAGAAAAATCTACTCCTTGCTGCTGTGCATATCCCTTAATCACTAATCTGGCCTTGTACTTGTTTACTGAACCATCAGGATTAAGCTTTGTTCTAAAACCCACTTAACCCCAATCACATTTTTACCTTCTGGTCTAGGACAAAGTGACCAAGTTTTGTTCTTTTCAATCATAGCCAGCTTTTCTTTCATAGCAGCCATCCATTCATCATGTTTTGAAGCCTCAAAAAAACAAGTTGGATCAGAAGTAGCCAAATTGCACCTAGCATACACATCCTCAAGTGACTTTACCTTCAAAGGTGGTGAGTCATCATTAGTTTCAGCAACATTTTGGTGTCTAGAAGTAGCAGCTGCACTTTGTTCAACATTAAAGTCTTCATTTAACTAAGAAGAAGACTCCTTAATAATTTTCTTATCATCCTAGCTCCAAAAAGCAAATTCATCAACTAAAACATCTCTATACACTTCCACTTTTTGAGACTGCAAATTATAAATTCTGTACCCCTTTGACTGTGCTGCATAACCAACTAGAATTCCCATCTCAGCTTTCTCATCCAACTTGGTTCTTCTAGTTGCTGGAACATGCATATAACATATGGAACCAAAAACTTTCAAATGATAAGCTGAAGGCTTAAGTCCAAACCAAGCCTCAATAGGAGTTTTACCTTCAACAGCTCTAGTTGGAAGACCATTTAGCAAATAAACAGCAGTATGCACTGCCTCTGCCCAAAACTTCTTTGGCAAATTCTTCTCAAAAAGCATGCTTCTAGCCATTTCCATCACTGTTCTATTTTTTCTCTCAGAAACACCATTTTGCTGTGGTGTATACTTAACTGTTAATTGATGATTTATACCATGTTCTTCACAAAAAACATCAAACTCCTTGGAAGTATATTCCTTTCCATTGTCTGACCTCAAGATTCTAAGTTGGCAGCCACTTTGCTTCTCAACCAGCACTTTAAACTTTTTAAAAACAGAGAATACTTGTGACTTGCTAGACAAAAAATACACCCAGGTCATTCTAGTTAAATCATCAATAAACAAAAGAAAATATTTGTTTTGATTGAGAGAAAGTGTATTCATAGGACCACACAAATCCGTATGCACCAATTCAAGTTTCTGACTTGCTCTCCATGCCTTAGTTGTGGGAAAAGCTGTTCTATGAATTTTTCCAATTTGACAACTCTTACATACATCATTATTGACATAAATTTGCGGCAAATCTCTTACAAGTTGAGAAGATTGCAAAAACTTCAAAGTTCTAACATTGCAATGACCATATCTTCTATGCCACAAGGTAGTCTCATCTTCTTTAGAAATCAGAACATGCTGCTTAACATCACTCCACATTAGAGGGAAGCTATTATCCACCATTTTCACATTAGCAACCTCAAAACCATGCAAATCAAAAATCTGACATACATCTTGTTTAAAATGTACAAAATATCCATGCTTCATTAATTGTGCAACACTTAGCAAGTTTTGACTCAAACTAGGAATGTACAGAACATCAGTGATAGTTTTAATACCTTCCTTAGTTTGAATTGAGACATTACCCTTGCCTTCTGCTTGCACTACATAACCATTGCCAAGTCTGACTCTTGTTCGAATAAACCTGTCCAGCTTTGTAAACAACTTCACATCTCTGACCATATGATTTGTACAACCACTATCAACATACCATGAATCCTATGAAGTCACAAAACAACTGTGCATAGCCACAAACATATAATCTTCCTCATTCTGATCTTCTATGAAATTAGCTTGCTGCACTTGCTTAGGCCTGTACTGCACTTGATTAGCTTTGCAGAATTTTTTTGTATGGCCATGTTTCTTGCAATTCTTACAATAAAACTGTGGCTTTCCTTTGTGCCAACAGTCTTTTTCAAGATGATTTGTCCTTCTGCAGTTTGGACAAGGAGGAAATTTATCTCTCTTGTCAAAATTTCTAGAACATTCAGCATGCTGTTTGCCTTTCTCCACTTTGTTAGCTTCATGCTGCCAATCTGATCTTGCAACTAAATATTTTCCCTTGTGCTTAGCTTGAAATGCTCTTTCAACACTTTCGTCAAATCTCATTACAAGTCTTTTTTGAAGAGCTTGCAATTTTCCAGTGAGTGCTTTAATGGAAAGCCTACTCAAGTCACAAGACTCTTCAATTGCAGCAACTTTAGGTTCAAATCTATCAGGAAGACTAACCAACATCTTATTGACCACTCGTGAATCAGGAAATCTCTCTCCCTGCATTTGAATTTGAGTGATCAAATCAACTAATTTTGAAGAATACTGACGTATTGTATCAGTTTCCTTCATCTTCAACATTTCGAACTCTCGTTTGAGAGCTAACAGTGTCACACTTTTATCTCTAGCACTCCCCTCATACGCTTCTTTAAGTGCTTCCCAGACTTCTTGTGCATTCTGGCAGGATGCAATTTTGGGGAAAATATCATTTGCCACTGCATTATGCAGAAAAGAAAGTGCTCTATATGTACCTGCATTATACTCTACGTTTCTCTTCATTTGTGCCACTGTTGGGTTTTCTTGTGGAAAAGGAAGTTGGAAACCATGCTCAATGACTTCCCAGACATCATTCCCTTTGAGGAAGGCTTTCATTCTAATAGCCCAGAAATCATAATTCTCTCCATTGAACATTCGAGGAGAAGAAAATGAATTTGTTGAAGAAGAAGACATTCTGAAATGTTGTAGAAGAGCAAGATTCTCTCCCTCACTTGTCACTCGTGTTTCACTCTCTCACACCTCTCTAAGATTTCTCACAGATCCCTCAAGAACTGCAAGCTTTGATACCAATTTGATGATGTAAAGATGAAAACTCAAGTGAAAAACAACATAAAGTGAACATAAACTCAAGGATTAACTTGAGAAATTATGAAATACATAGAACACTGTTGAAATACATGAACAGTATCTGATATATTTCAGAAAAATAGCAGCGGACATACATTGCAGTTTTAAAGAAAAAGAAAGTTATACATAACAGTTGCTGAAATGAAAAGAAGTTACAAACTAAAACGAAACTACTACACCACTAAGTAAAATAAACTAAATGTAACTGCAAAGACTTGATCTCACACACTAACAAATATGCATGTGCTAACCTTCTGTAATACTAATATTCATTTGAGGCCGTCACTGAATAATCCACATTTTCAATTTGCTAGTCCACATTTATGAATAGTATCTTGCTTCCCCCATTGGATTGGGATATGAAAAGGTAAGATTTTGACACCTAGACTGAAATGAAGCCTTCATGCTACTATAAAAGCCACAATACCAGTCATTTTGAACCATCAGAAAACAAAGTTCAAAGATGTCTGTTACTTACTTTCTTGTGTTGCTCCCTCGAGTGGTAGTTCTCTCCTCTCCCTCTCTTGCACACTATGATGAACAACCCAAAGTATGAGCACAAACCTCTCGAGATCAAGAAGCCACCATTTTACAAACCTCCCAAACTAGAGAAGTCATTCCCAGAGCCTAAGCCAAGGCCACCAGTTTATAAACCTCCAAAAGTTGAGAAGCCTAACCCACCAATTTACAAACCTCCCGAAGGAAAGAAGTTGTTGGATTTTTGAGGATAAGAAGGGAGGGATTGAGAGAGGACTTGGAGGAGAAGTAGAGACACCCGGAGTTTCCTCTTCTGGTGAGGTCAGAACCCATTTTCTTCCATTGATATTCTGCTATTTATAGCAGAAACAACACATCATAACATAGAACATAATAGCCATAAACATGGAAGGGTGCAGACATTCACCCAACCGGAGAGGAGAAACCATGCTCCCTTTCTCTCAATTTTCATCAATTTCTTCCTTCCTTTTTATAGAGGAAGGCTACACATAAAGCAATAATATTTTTCTACCAAAACTATAATTATTAACTACCTAAAACATTGACTAAAATGATGAAATTTGCTGCCATTTCTTGTAGCCCATGTGAAGCTCCATGCTGCTGTCACTTTGCTGCTACTGTGCAGTCATGTTGCAGCATCATTTAGCAGATCTCATTTCACTGCATATTTAGCTTTCATGCCATAGCTCCAACAAACTCCTCCTTGGCATTAAAGTTGCAGAAACACAATTTTACTTTAGCACATTGAATCTGCCATTTTCAGTTTTGTCTTTGGTTTGGTTTGTTGTTTGCTGCCAAGTATTATCTTCTCAAATATTTCAGCTCCTCTTGCAAATCAGCTTCATCTTTGTTAGATTTTTGCTGTTTGAAAAAATTCAGGAGCCTAAACATTTTCTGCAACTCCACCATTACAGCAGCTTTGTCCGTGGATCTTTTTTGCTTCAATACATTCTCAAGTTGTGATTTTGTGCTTGGTCTTGGCTGTTCCTCCATCAAACTTCTTTGCCATAAAGCCATGGGGTTCACAAGTACATAAACATGAAGAGTTTTTTTTTATATGAAAAAACTCTTAACATTCAGAAATACAAACATAAAAGATGGTTGAAGAACAAAGAATGAAACTGAGATGTGCTCAGTTTTCCTTTGCCATCATCTCCATCAAACATTCTTTGCCATGAAGCCGTGGAAGTTTAGAACATCATAGCCACATCCATGAAGAGTTTTCTTGGGAAAACTCAAAACATATCCATACCAAACATAAAAGATGGATGAAGAACATACCATGAAACTGAGTTTTTTGTGCTCAGTTTCCCATTTTATCAACCATGATTTGCCTTTTGGACTGATTTTTGAAACAAACATGAACACCTTCTCTTTGAATCCAGCTTTCCTCTCCTTGACATCTCCCATGGTGGAACTAACATATGCCTCCATCTTCACAGCCTTTGTTGCTGCAAGACGTTGGCCAAGCAAGAGGGGTTTCACATGAAGAATTGTCTGAAAACAATGAGAAAGGTGTGGTTTTTTCTGGTGTTCCCTCAAAAAACAAACTCTCACAGGTCCCTCAAGATTTCAGCTATGATACCATGTTGGATTTTTGAGGGTAAGAAAGGAGGGATTGAGAGAGGACTTGGAGGAGAAGTAGAGACACCCGGAGTTTCCTATTTTGGTGAGGTCAGAACCCATCTTCTTCCATTGATATTCTGTTATTTATAGCATAAACAACACATCATAACATAGAACATAATAGCCATAAACATGGAAGGGTGCAGACATTCACCCAACCGGAGAAGAGAAACCATGCTCCCTTTCTCTCAATTTTCATCAATTTCTTCCTTCCTTTTTATAGAGGAAGGCTACACATAAAGCAATAATATTTTTCTACCAAAACTATAATTATTAACTACCTAAAACATTGACTAAAATGATGAA